CGACAGCCGCGCTTGGCGGCACCGTGGCAACCGTGGCGGCCACCCTGAGGGAATACGACGGGGAGGGGGGGGGGCGGGTTGGGGCCAGATGTGCTTTACGGCACTGCCGGGCAATGTGCTGGGGAGCCGATACCGCGGTAGGAACAGAAGGACGACGGGGTCGCGGAGGCTTGCTTTACGGCACGGCCATGAGGAACTTTTGCGACACTGGGTGGAAGACACGCCTGCCGTTTGCGACGGAAGGCTGCGGGCCCCTGGACGCGCTTTGCGACGGCGGCCTCGAGGACCCCGCCTTCACGTTGAAGTGTTCGCTTGACGGCAGGGAGGGGGTGTCTTCGCTTGCTTTCAAGCAGTAAAATCGGTGTCGGGGACCCGGTGAAGTCCCCATCCTCCACGCCGGAAGTGTCGCAGTCCCTTCACATTACATCACGCCTCTCCTGAGAAGCGGAGCACGTTAGATGGCGGCGGGAGGAGCTCGCGGCTATGTCAAGTCCAACTTCGAACCTTTTTATTTTGTCGGCCGTGGGGCTTGAACTCGGGTCCTGGGCGCTGCCCCTGAGCTTCCCCCCCCCCAGGGCGAGCGCTCTGCCACTTTGAGCCACAGCGGTTTTCTAGGTGGTTCATTGGCGATGAGAGGATCACAGCCTTTCCTGCCCGGGCTGGCTTTGAACCGCGATCCTCAGATCTCAGCCTCCTGAGTAGCTAGGATTACAGGCGTGAGCCACTAGAGCCTGGCGTCAAGCTCTTAGGTTTTGAAGCTACAGATAATCCAAAGGAATCCGACAGGCAGTCTCCACCAACAGCATTCACGATCCCAGGAGATTCCCCCGAGGAACTACTAAATACGAAGCCCCTGAGCCCAACTCCCGGGCTAAGTGAGGCTGGAGGGGCGTGGACGTCACAATTCGGACTTCTCGCCGCTTCGCCAGGCCCCCTGCCTATGATTGGCTGGCTCGGATGAGGGCGGTGATGGAAGGAGCAGGGCGGGAACCAGTCGCGGAGACAAACAAAGAAAATCGCTGGGTGGGACCACCGGGCCGGGCGAGCCCTGGGGAGGGGCGCTCGGCCTGAGATCTGGAGAATCCCGCGTCCGCCTACCGCCGCTCGGGGAACGGAGGCGGGGCGGACCCAGACTCCAGCTCCGGCGGGGAGGGCGGCTGGGGCGGGGCTATGCGGAGCGGAGAGGCGGGGCGGACTAACGGAAAGCTTGTCACCGGGTGGGGCCATGGACAGGCCGGGGTCTCTGGGAGCTGCTGGTAGCGTTAAAGGAGAGATCCCCGGAAGGGCCACCAGGGAAGGGTCCGGAGGGGGCCGAGGCTTGGAGACCGACTCCAGACTGCCCCCTAGGGTAGCTGTGTTTCAGGGCTTTGGGCCTCCGTTGCACTCCGGGGGCAACGTCATTCCCAGTACTAATTCCAGCCGGCCCCCCGACGGAGTAGTGATCCGCGGTTCCTGGCCGAGTCAACACCCTGGGGAGGTGGTTGGCCATAGCTTTGGGCCCAGCATCGCCCCTGGTAGAGTCAACGCCCCCGGTAGAACTGGGGCGTCCAGCCCCGAGCCCGGGGGGCTTAGTCCGGGGTGCAGTGGACACTCGGGATCTACCAGCTTGCATAATTGTGAGGACCGGCCTCGGGGCATCCTAAAAAACAGCAGCTCCACAGTAGTGCAGAAATCACCCTCTGTGGAGAAGTAAGAAACACCGCCCCCCCCCCACCTCTCCCCTCTGCTCCCCTCCGCTCCCAGCAGGCTAGAGACTGGAGAGGAGTTACCAGCACCCGAGCACCCGCAGGGCCCGAGCCCTGAGGGAAGGGGCGGAGCTCCTGAGAATTTGACATGAGAGTCCCTGGGGGCAATTGGGTGGGAAATCAGATTTCAGGACTTTGGGAGTGCAGCAGAGGTCCAACAAATCCTAGCCACACAGTACCAAGGTTATCATTGTGTCTGACCCCATCGCTAAAAGGGAGTGTAAAAGTGTTTAATGACTGCAAAGCCTTGAGGAAGGGATCATAGAATAATCTCCTTCCCCCCCCCCCTCACTTTTGTGTGTCCTCTCCTCACCTTAGGAAGTCTCAGCACTGGGATGAGATGAACATCCTGGCTACCTACCACCCTTCTGACAAAGACTATGGTTTTATGAAGGTGGACGAGCCAGGAACCCCCTACCACAGGTGCCAAGCCCTCAGTCAGCTTTTCAACCTAGATTCTTCTTTGTTCTAACAAAGGGATCTGGGGAGGAGGTAGAGAAGCCTTGGGGACTGGATGTTGCCCTCCTCCTGGCACTGCTTCCTCTTTGCAGGATGCATGACAGTGATGAGGACCTATCTGCAGGGCCCTCCTTCAAGGTGACTCCAGAAGCACTATCAGAGAAGTGAGTGTTCTGTTGGAGTTGAGGTGGGAGTTGAAAAGTGTTGATAGAGCTCTTTTTCTTTTTGCCTCCTAAAATGGGGGGGGTAATATTTGTTTGTACTGGGACTTGCACTTGAACTCAGGGCCAGGCACTGTCCCTTAGTTTTCTCGCTCAAGGCTGGTGATGCCTTACCACCTGAATCACACCTCCTCTTCTAACTTTGTTGTTGATAGTGGTGGTTGTGGGGCTTGAACTCAAGGCCTGGGCACTGTCCTTGAGCCTCTTGGTGCTCAAGACTAGTGTTCTACCACTTGAGCCGCAGTGCCAGTTCCAGTTTTTGAATGATTAATTGGAGATAAGAGTCTCATGGGGACTTTTCTGCCTGGGGTGGCTTCAAACCATGAGCCACAGATCTCTGCCTCCTGAGTAGCTAGGATTACAGGTGTGAGACACTGGCGCCTGGGTTTCTTCCAACTTTTTGCTGGTCAACTGAAGATATGAGTTGCAAGGAATTGACTACTTGGGCTGGTTTTGAGCTACAATCATCACATCTCAGCCTCCTGAGTAGCTAGGATTACAGGAGTAAACCATCACCCTACTAAAATTGGATGTAAAATACCTATTACATCTGACTAGGACCCATGGAGGGTGGGATCGGCTAGTTTGGTTCAACCCACCACCTGTTCCCATTGTGTTTTTCTCCCTTCTGCCTCCCCAACTAGTCTCCCTCCCCTTCAGGTTTGCAACAATGGACAATTTCCTCCCCAAGGTCCTCCAGTATGGTGATAACAGAAGCTCAAGAACCACAGATAATTTTTCCAAGACACGTGAGATACAGATGGGGAGAGGGCACTAAATAGAAAAGGGAGCCTTCAGCCAGGCACTGGTGGCTCACTGGTAGTTGTAATCCTAGCTACTCAAGATACTGAGATCTGAGGATCATGGTTCAAAACCAGCCTAGGCAGTCAAGTCCATGAGACTCTTACCACTAGTTAACCACCAAAAAGCCTTAAGTGGAGGTGTAGCTCAAGCAAAAAACTTGAGTGCATAGCCCTTGAGTTTAAGCCCTTAGAATTGGCACACACACACACACACACACACACACCACACACACACAAAGGAAAGAAGAGCCAAGTGCCGGTGGCTCACGCCTGTAATCCTAGCTACTCAGGAGGCTGAGATCTGAGGATAGCGGTTCAGAGCCAGCCCAGGCAGGAAAGTCCCTGAGACTCTTATCTCCAATAAACCACTAGAAAACCGGAAGTGGCGCTGTGGTTCAAGGGATAGAGCACTCGCCTTGAGCTGAAGAGCTAGGGACAGTGCTCAGGACCAGAGTTCAAGCCCCAGGACCAACCAAAAAAAAAAAAAAAAATCAAGGAAGGAAGGAAGGGAAGGAGGAGGGCGGGATGGAGAAAGAAAGAAAGGAAAGAGAAGGAAGGCAAGAGGGAGAAAGGAGAAAGGCAGGCTTTAGTGAGAGGCTGGCAAGAAAGCCAAGCTCTCACATTGGCCCACAGACTCCAATGACTTTGACAAACATCGCAAGATACACTACAATGAAGGAAAGTTTCTCAAGGCTCAGAAAAACCTGCCTTTGGACAGTGACATGGACAACAGTGAAAGTAGTTCTGGCATTGGTAGTGGTATTCAAGGTGTGATGATAAATCCAAAGCCCAAGCCTGTGGAGAGAGACTGGACAAAAAGACTGACCAGAGAAGTCAAAGATAAGACTGGCCCAGGGACTTCAAGTCACATCGGACATGCCAACGGTTAGCAATGGGAAGCTTCAGGATCTCTTTTATTTTTTTAATTTTTTTTTTGGTCGGTCGTGGGGCTTGAACTCTGGGCCTGGGCGCTGTCCCTCAGCTCTTCAGCTCAAGGTGAGCACTCTACCACTTGAGCTACAGCGCCACTTCTGG